CTGTGTGGATGTCTCGGATGGCGGGGAACGCAATGGTGGGGTTAGGCTGGCAGGTCACCCCCTCCAAGAAAACGCCCGCTTGTCCGGGGGGGGGGGGGGGGCAAACGAATCTGATCGGAAAGAATCGGGGGGGGAAGGGGGGGGGGGAGAGGAAGGGGGGGGGGGGGACAGTACATGTTCGTATGGGATCTTGAGCTCCTCGAGGATCATGACCACCTTTGACGGGTTGGGGGTGTAACCTGCGATAAAGAAGCATTAGTATCTTTCCTCGACTCATGGGGTGAGATGAAAATGTCGAGTTCCAAAACATACTGTGGCCGTAAAGAACGATGGGCTGTGAGGCAATCATGATGACTTATGCTACTCGAGATGTAGTGTCTGTATTATTTCTTTGGAGTCGTTGGTTTTGAGGTGTGTTGATGGTTGATGGTTCTATCTGTTGATTCTGAGAGCGATATATTCAAGAATAGGTGGGAGGATGTATTGCCATTTATCATTCTTCCCGTAGCAAGAGTCCGGCAAAGTGTTGAACATCACTTTGGTACTCCTCGTGTCTATCTATCCCCTCGCTTCGATGCTGCTAGGGCACGCTTCCAAGCATTGTCATTCCCTTCACACGTGATGCAATCACCAGTCTCCTCGACACCATCCATGGAAGCTGCTCTGGAGCCCCCTGCCGCGACCAAGCTCACGAGCCGAAAGAGAAAAAAAAAAACATCAACATTCTCTCGCAAGCATAGTTCCTCCTCATGTAATCATCACCAATCCCAAATCCTCATTTCTGCTGATCCCCTTCTTGCAAAAAACCTCCCGCGCGGCAGATGACTACAACCGAGTGATCTCGTCATCTTCTGAATTATAGTCAGCTTTGTCACGCTTGGAAATAACCCCCAGAAACACCTCACAAATCCTCCCTCCCTCTCCCCCATGCCGAAAAGGATCTTGGGTACATCGTATGACGCGCCACGTCGTGGCTCGCGTATCACTACACACCCGGAAAATATGGGGCCTCTGTTCGGCCGCGCCCCGGACGAATGGTCCGGACAACCAACCCGCATGCCGAACAGCTTTATTGCTGACGAACCCGCCCCCGGACTACGGACAATTTTCATATAAACTGCCCGAGTAACCAATCTCTCCGGTCGACTTTCCAACATCCCAACGCCGCCTCAACACTGCTGCTAGGTTTCCAACTATTCTGTACAAATACCTATCCCAGATTATCCTCTATCCAGGATACTCAGCTACCCTATCAATTCAAAGTAGTCCATTTCACACTCGGGACGACGTCTCAAGACACAGAGACACACACTCACGTACTGAAGAAACAGCAAAAAGACAAGGAACGACAAATAGACAAGGAAGCATCGAATTCGCGGCTTACATGTTCCTTTTCGAGAAAACCCGCCCAAAGCTTTGTTTCGAACCCGCAAGGCAACACATCCCAGGATCAATGTTCCCCTAAAGCACGTGGCAAAGAAGGAAAAGAAGCTTGACCGAATCGTCGGCCATGTTACCACGCACACACCTTTCCATTTCACGAACCCGAAAAAGGCGATAACCTTTCTTTTCTTTCCTGCCTCTTCACCGAATCTCTCCACAACCCGATGTTTTTCTATGCAAAAGAGGGACCGACGTTGCGAAGATTCCGGGGGGGCAGCGAATCATGCGCCTTGCAGTCCTCCGTTCGTCCCAGAGTTGAAAAAAGATCTCATCACCTGAATAGAACAAAAAAGTTTCTCGACTCCTCAACGGCAGAATGCGATCAGAATGAAATAAAACAAAAAAACAGAGTCAGAACTCCGTGATGTGGGCAAAAAACATTACTCAGGGATATAGGGGGCTCCTCATGAGATGACGTGAAACAATCAGGACACCCACGGAAAAGCCCAGCACACCCTTTTTTCGACTGTTTAACGTGTGGGACACGTTGCCAATGAAGTCGGGAAGGCCATTCGCCTGAACTTGCCGGCTTGGCTGAAGATATTCCAGAACAACCAGACCTGTTGTCCGTCGGAGTCCGGATGTTAGATGTTGGCCAACACCGGGAAGCTTTTGAAGGGTCGACCCTAAGACGACCGAGGGCACTATCCGATCAACTCACCACCCATACACTTTTGTTAAGATGCTAGTAAACATTTCGACGCAGCTTCCAGAAGCCGAGAATGCCCCTGTTTGAACACATACTGGTCCCGGATATCATGAAACAGGTCTTTCTAACGATATCGCCGAGGTGTATATGGCGATTTTGGGTACAGCATTATTCATCTTCGGCCGTTTCCATTGCCCATGGAGCCAAAACGAACACCTCGACCGCATTGCCATTTTCAATCGGCCACGTTTGGGGTCCATTTCCCAACTGCTGTTGAGAGGTTTGTATAAGTTGCCGGTCAAAGAGTGGGCCGTTGTCGCCAAGTCGGACTTTGAAAAACTTCATCGGAGAATGTCCTGCATCCCGGGCTGACGTGCCTGGCTAAAACAGCAGACCAGCCGGCTGAGCGCCGAGCAGAGGCATGAAAGCTGGACATGCGCCGGCGAAAGGCACGGCGTCCACCTAAGTCGACGTGCATCGGGCCTTGTCTGCTTCAGAAAGCTGATAAGAAAGTCTGGCAGGGGATTCTGATGAGAGTATACATATCGCTGACGAAAGTATTCAGGTGTAAGGCTTGCTCGGATGAAGATCTTATCAGACAGCCCTTCAGTCGTGCCGCCTCAATGGCATGGCGCGCGCCCCCGAATCCGTTTTCAAATATGATTACGGCGCTTGAGAATTACTGCCCTGGCCGGCCGAGAGCAACGACGCACGTGGAATAGCTGGAAGTAGCTCTGGCCTCGCACTTAAGATCCGACGACCTCGAAATTGTGAAAGCAAGGTCTACTCACTGTTGAGCATCAATCACACAGGTGCTCAATGGCGAGCCGGACCGTTTGGTTGTTTGGTGAATGACCCATGTCTGTGTGTCTGGCCCTTCAAACTGGTCAGAGAAGATGAGACTTGATGCCTCCTTCTCCCACGTGTGCTCCCTGCTAATATCTGTTCCAAAGGGCCTGTGAACCGCCAGGCCATTGACGCTAGCCGATTGGGCAAGGCGCTCAGAGGATACTCATCTTGAGCCCAATCAGGGTCGATTTTCTGACGAAAGCGTGAGTGAGACCAGGGTTGTCCTGTCATCAAGGCAAGCGGCCGATGCCCCTGCAACGCTTGAGAGGTATTTGGTCGGGCTTGACACGGAAACAGCCTGGAGAACTCATACGGCAGAGTTGCCGTGAAATGTGAAATGCCGTCACGACACAGGAGCGTAGTCGGCCATTGGGCTTATGTCGGTATTAAAATCCTTTCCTCTGTCAAGGGACTAGACTGGCGTTGAGAGAAAGAGGATCAGACATTGGCGTAGTTCAGAGGGTCCCAACTTAGAACTTCTCGTGCAACCTCGTACAACCGGTAGCTGGTAGCCTCATCACGTGGGATTGAGGCACAAATGGTGACCTGCGGCTTGATGGCCTCCAACTTCCAAGGCGAAGGTGCAGCCTCATATTGAGGTGAGAAGCGCCAAGAGCCAGGATGGGGCTGCAGCCAGGCTGGAATTCGAGCAGCGACGAAAGTGCCCAAAGCGTGTATAAGGTTTTCGTGGTCCGAATTCTGTGCGTCCGACTTGGATATGGTCAATTGCCGTGCTATTCATATACCCCTGCCCCAGTGCTTCATGAGGAGAGTCTGGGCACCGTGTAACAGCAGACAGTCAGGGCCGGAAAACCGTCTCTTTGAAAGTCGTTTGGGAGGATCGAGGGGGTGAGGTCTATGGCTTGTCGAGCAATTGAGTTGCCGAGTCCTGGCATGGTGGAACACTGCGACGTTGGAACGTGGCCAGTAGTCCGCAGGGCAACTAGACGGGAAACCGGTCAAACGATGACAGAAGGTTTGTGACCTGTTGTATTTGCGCTCGCAAGCGCATCGTAACCGTAGCATCGCCGACGTTCTGGCCGCGTGCAGCTTCCAGGTTCCGCCTCGCCTATGTACATTTGTGACTCGTGAGCGAGATGGGTTGCATTCCTCGGTGTGATGCGGGGCGGTGACCGAAGCAGTTGGTATGTAGTTGAGGATCAACCCGTACATGGCAAGCCAGCCGATGCTGGATGGGTAGATCTGCACAGTCAACTGGCAAAAAAGAAGCCCGGACTCACGCCACAGACGCCTAGTCGGCGGGTAGAGGTTATCCGTCTTTTCTGCTCAAACTGTAGCTTCGGGATTAAATGACTGAATGCCACTTGGCTCGTCATTGATGGCGGTCATTTGCTCTTAGCCCCCCTCAGGTTGAGGCTTGAGGATTCGTTGCAGCCAGAAAGAAGGAGATCGATCATTGCTGAGCCGTGAAGCTTCATGCCGGGGTTCGCCAAGTCGCTACGGAAAGTCCACAAAGAAAAAGTCGGCATTTGCATCGCATGTTGCGAACTTGCGGATGGGACTGTTCCCTGTTTGTTTTTGTAGTGAAGCGGTAACTTCATCCAATATCAATTGTCCAATGATGCAGCGAAGGGATGTTCTATCGACAAACCAACTTCTCGAAATGTTGGCGGGCACGCGGGTCGGGATCAGACTGGGGGCGGTGGAGGGTCATTACTCGGGAGTGATGACTGAAACACTTGTTCCATTGCCTAGCCCCCGCTTCCGTTCAGTCTGCAAAAGACGGCGCTCGCTCGTCGACAGCGTCTGGGGCTGCCGGATGCGGAGACGCGTTGCCGGGCGCGGCTGAATCCTGCGTGACTTTCCAGGATGGGCCGAATTTCTCGGGGCCCAAGAACATATAAGGAAGGTCTAGACAATATCAAGATCCGTATCCGTCCGTATTTTGAAGCTTATAGCATCTCCCGCTTCTGTTGGGGAATGGTGTGGAGAGAGAGAGAGAGAGAGAGAAAGAGCGAGCGGAAGTCATCCGGAGAGAAATAAATATTAATTGTTCGGGGCAGACTGAACCATTGAAAAAAAGAGCACGGGGATAGTCAACACAAACAAGAGAATTCTGAGCTCGAGAGAAGAATGCAGCAGGATTCAAGACGTGTGATCTGCAATGGTGCCTACCTCACTAGTTGACGGACACACAAAGTAAGGCAAAGAAAGTGCAGGTTCCGGTAATCTGGATTGTGGCAGGAGACTACATCCGGGTGCAGATACCGATCGGGTCGGGCGGGAATGGGAAAGTGAGAAGAGAGGGCAATACCTTCTCCTTCGGTCCATAGGCACTGAGGCAGTAGCAGAAGATTCGGGAGCCGCCTGAAAGCATGAGGTGTTCCATTGCAAGTGCGAACCATGGGGCGGTAAGGGTGACAGCAATTTGATTTGAGGATGAAATTTTTCTGTTGTATTGCGGAACGAGGATGCCCTTCTCAGAGGCGGAACCTTGTCTGATGGACTCGCGTTGTCGGATGGACGGACACTTGGTGCAGGCTCAATTTGCAGAGTGCCTGGTACCTACTGCAAAGCCCAAGTGCAAGACCAAGACCAAGACCAAGACGTGGTGGGATGAGAGGCACGCACGTGGACCTTGATTCAAAAAAGGTTGAGGCCAGGAGCATGGCCCATTAAACTTTGCACTTTGCCTTTTGCTATATCTGTATCCGTAGGTACTCCTGGTAATAGCGTATGCCATGCCGTGCCTCAGCTTAGATGGACAAGCTGCCCCTTGCTCAAATTTCCAATTTCCAATTGCTTCATCATTTTCTTCCAAGTGTCCGATTGCCTGATGCCTTATTCTACGTCGTATAAACCTTAGGCCCTCCCCAATGACCCCATTACTGCTAAGCCCGGCTGCCTCACATATTACGCACGATCGGGGGCCGCCTGGGGGAGATGTCAAATAATCACAATTGATCAAAAGGGATGAGAACAAGCGCCAGTTCAGCCGGGATTGGCAAGAACAACAAGGAGCAGAAAATATCCCGAAATGCCTGGAGAGATGAGAAATCGGTACGTACCGTGAGCCGTAAATATCTGTGAGAGCTTGACTTGACCGGGGTCAACCAGGGTGTGCGCCCAATGAAAGTGATTTAAATGCCATGCATGCGGCAGAGGGAAGAGACTAAAACGAGTGGAGCTGCCCGCTGGTCTGTCCTTAGTGCTACCGCCAGTAATACCTAGGCTGTTACTCAAGTCGAGAAGGAGAGCTCCTGCCCGCTCTTTCCTCTGCTCTGCTCTTGCCCCAATAGCAGCAACCTGAGACTGCAAGTCCCTAGGTACCTGCCTCAACCACTTGCCAAGTATCTTCTCATGCTTACCTAAGATTAGCCTACTTCACCTGCCTTATGAGGTAGATTGAAGGAAAGCCCGTGTCAACTCTCGAGAACTTGTCCACACTCCACAGGCGTGATAACCTGCCTTGTTCTCACGATGATAAGCCACTCGAGATATTTACGCCTGCCGTTCGAGCAAGGTGTTTCTTATCACCCTCAACTCCCCGAACCTCGAAGCCCTGGCCCATCATCAGCAGCTCGTGCCTTGCACCCGAAGGTTTTCAAGCTTGTTCAACCTGTGCCATGTGCTAGTCCCAAACATCCCGTCCACCATCAAGTCACAAGTGGCAGATGCCTCCATTCACCTCAAATACATCCGCTCAGAAGCAGTCAACTGGCGTTCAACTGTGCTTCAAAAAGCCGAGCAAAGGACGTGGGCAACTATGTACCTAACTACATTGCCTTAGGTACATCCGTACCTGTCTGTTCTCCTCCCGCCACACGCCGCAACCTCGCACGTCTCTGTCTATACACCATCAGCACTGCATACCTCTCCCGGCAACTCCCTGCTCGGCATGTTCCCCCTCCGGCAGGCCAAGACCTGTCCAGGTCAATTGAAGAAGCTGTCCGCGGATGGCATAGGCCGAGTCCGCCCCGTCCACACACATACACATACAATCTCTCCATCCTCTCTCCCACATTCATATTCGTACAGACACACTCACTCACAGCACAAGAGACATGGCCCATATATCCTTGAGGTACCTAGGTATCCCGATCCATACACCACACGCGCACCCGCGCCCCGCCGCCCTGGCCTTGCCTTGCCAACTTTGCTAGGGCCTGCTGCACCACTCACCTACTCCGTAAGTCTGCGCTGGGAACGTGTCCCTGTCACCCATGCCGCACCTGAGGAGTGAGCACTGAGGATCGAGGGACCCCGACGGGAAGGGAGGGCGGGTGGTTGGTGTCTGGGCTGAATGGATCCCAGGTCTGATTGTCTGAGCTGACTGCGTATGGGATTGGGGGACGTGTGTGTGTGTGTGTGCCTTGCCTCGCCCATTTCTCCCCGTCTCTCTCTGGCTCTGGTCCTCTCACTCTCACTTCTTGCAGTCAGTGCCTTAAGTACATCGTGAGGTCAGAGGTAGCGGCAGAGGTATCCGTATCCGTAAATTCCAGTGCAGAGGTACCTGGTCATCGAGACCGCTGCTTCTCGCAACTCCACGAGTCCAGCCTGCCCGCCACTAGCATCAACTTTACACTTTCCCGCACAACAGAATTCCTTTTCCTTTTACCCACACCTGCTCTCCTCACTGGCCCTCGCCTCCCCTCCAACTCAGTTTCCAGTCTTCCGTCCAGCTTTTCTTTTTCCGATCTCCCTCACAGTTCACTCCCCTTCGTCACTTGACAGATCAGATCCGAACCGCCAGTACGGCCTGATCTCTTCTCTCATTGATTGATTCCCTGGGCCGAACGCGCTTTCTTGTCACACCCAGGCTGTCTACGGTCTACGTCGCTGTCATCACCTTCCATTCCCAAACTACCGTCTCTCTCTGATCTCAGTCTTACAAGGCTCAGGTCTCCAGGCCTCCTCCCCATATTGCCATACCTTATACCCACCCACCCGGGGGCACCTCTCACACAGCACGCTCCTTCGCTGCCAAGGTACTCCCAAAGGTACCCAAAGGTGTCGCTCTCGGTACCAAAGGTACATCGGTGCTTACCTTAGCTTGGGCCCGTACTCAATTGCACTTACCCGCCCGCCTGTCGAGGTCCTGGTGATACCCACATTTATTCCTCCGACACTGTCCTTGCCCGCCTTCCCGGTCGCACTCTCGTCTTCCGTCCTTCGCTACCCATCTCCCTCGACAGCTCCCGCCCATCCCCGATCTTCAGGGTCGTCGCTCATCATCCGTCCATCCTCAGTCCGTCCGAAAAACAATCATAACAACTTACCGCTCTCGCTTTCGATCCTAGCCGTCGCTGCGTCCTCTCTCGAAGTCTTTTGATCCGAAACGCCTACGTTACCGCCGAGTCCTCCGCCGACCGAACGATCATCACTACCAATCGACGACAACGCCCTGCGATCCATCTCAGTCTCGCCATTAATTCTCACCTCGTCAGCCTTATCTGATACTACTATGGGCATTTAACGTGCATCCATTCGGGATCTCACGCGCGGTTAAATCATTTCGAAGGCTCCTTGAGCCCTGCACTCGAACATTTAACGCACCCAAATCCCATCATTACTCCCATCAGCGGCTCAACCGAAGCCCCGGCCTCTTTCAAAAATGGGTGCCTGTATGAGCTCAAACAACGAGGAGGTGGAACAGAAAAAGAAGAGTCAGGCAATCGATCGACAGCTGGAAGAGGACTCGAAGAGGTTACGCCGGGAATGCAAGATTCTTCTCCTCGGTAGGTTTTGATACCAGAGTCCATTCCTACAGGATCTTGAGATGGACCTAGCTTGCTGACAACCATGCAGGATCCGGAGAAAGTGGTAAATCCACGATAGTGAAGCAGATGAAGATTATTCATCTGAAAGGCTACTCCGAAGATGAACTATATAATTACCGCCCCACCGTGTTCAAGAACCTGGTGGAATGCGCAAAAGCAGTGATCCAGGCTATGCGACAATTCGATATCGAACCGGTAATCGAAGAGAACAAGGCGTATGCCACCTTCCTCATGGAATACACAGCCGAATCTGGCCCCCAAGCACATATCGATCCCCAGATTGGAATCGCCATCCAGTCAATATGGAGCGATCCCGCGAGGGAACAGCTCATGGAGAGGCAGACTGAGTTCTACTTGATGGATTCTGCAGAATAGTAAGTGTACCCAATTGGATGTAGCATGCCAGTGCAAGAAGTGCTAACGAGATGTCATCAGCTTCTTCCAAGAGGTCATGCGGATCGTAGCACCAGACTACCTCCCGAACGAAATGGATGTTCTCAGAGCCAGAACGAAGACAACTGGTATCTACGAGACAAGATTTCAGATGGGCCAACTCAGCATACAGTGAGGCTTTGTGATTGACTGTGCGCGTACCTCACAATTACTGACGATTTCTGCAGCATGTTCGATGTTGGCGGTCAAAGAAGCGAAAGAAAGAAGTGGATTCACTGCTTCGAAAATGTCACTTCAATTATCTTCTGCGTTGCCCTTAGCGAGTACGACCAAGTTTTGCTGGAGGAGAGCAGTCAGGTATCCCTCGAAGCCATACCCCCCCCCCCCCCTTAATACTTTGCGCTAACGACCGCAGAACCGAATGATGGAAAGTCTACTGTTGTTTGACTCGGTGGTGAACTCGAGGTGGTTTATGCGCACCAGTATTATTCTGTTCCTGAATAAGGTGGATATCTTCAAGCAGAAGCTTGGACGTTCACCACTGGGCAATTACTTCCCAGACTACTCGGGCGGTAACGACGTCAACAAGGCAGCCAAGTATCTCCTCTGGAGGTTCAACCAGGTCAACCGAGCACACCTCAACCTGTATCCCCAGTAAGTGAAAGCGTCATTGTTTCGGTGGGCGGGGGCTAATCCAACTGTAGCCTGACTCAAGCAACCGACACATCCAACATCCGATTGGTGTTTGCGGCCGTCAAGGAGACGATCCTCAACAACGCTCTTAGGGACTCTGGCATCCTATAAACCGCCAGTCGCCTCGGCTACAAATTTTCCTTAATGTTTAGATTCATCTCCTCTGTTGCGGGTCAGCGTTTTATAGCATTGCCGGGCGTTGTGGGCGGCACCTCGTTTGGACGGCGTTCACTCTGGTTTACACGCTCGCTTGCGATACGACACGGGTGCGAGCGAATCGTCGGTTAGTGCCTCGACTTGAGAACAGCACGGCACGACAACTCCTTTTCCATTTGCATCACGGAACCAATCGCTTGAAGATGGACATTTGCAACCGGTTGCTGCCCGCCTACGCGAGATACACCGGGTTACTGTGGTGGAAGAGATGCTCATGTGAAAGCGTTTCTGGGACGAAAAGCACGCCATGGGTTGGAGTATGGTATGGGAAACGGGAAATTCAAAGATGATGTGATGAATTGGCCGTTCGTTTTCTTTTGTCTCTGTTTTGGGATGATGCTCGAAACTTGGGAAAGCGACAGCATCTACCCCGTTGGAAGCGGTAGCGTATGGGCCTGATTGATAGCTGGAGAGAGTTGCGACAGCTAAATGAAGCACATCTCTATATGCGAACCATTCGTGTGCCAGGAACGTGCCAGTACGCTGTGTTTACGCAACTCATGGATGTTCAAAGAGCTCATTCCAGATTCCTAGTATGGATAGAGAAGGGGGTTGGTCGTGGGAAACAACAGCGAGGATGAGGGAGATGGATCTCATGAGAAAGAGAAGAAGAAAAACCCCGCAAAACGCTGGCTTGAGGCTTCGCGATCGCGGCAGATGATGTTCTTTTCTTTTTCCGTTACTTGTACACTATATCGTCTTAATCAACGCAAGGCTGTGTATGCGCTGCTGGAAGCGGCCGCATCTTTTATTCTCACTTTATTTGTTTCGCTATGGCTGACTTTGTTTGATGTGGTGAGATTTGGCATTGAAGCCTTGTGAGGGCAGGCCAGGGGTGTTGGGCTATGATAGCTACCAAAACCGAATATGATATCCGGAGATGATCCGTAAATCTGTGATATCTTCAGTGGGCCTTGATAGTCAAGGATTAGATAATGAGAGAGAGAGAGAAAGATGTTGTGCTGTGTGGGTAGGGACTAGGAATATCAGGTCATAATTTTTTTGCTGTGGACTTTTTCTTTTCCGGGGTTGATGGGAATTTGGCAGGATGATAGATTACCTATTACATTGCATTCCGACTAGGGAGGTGAGTGAGCTGGCCCCAGTCTTAGTACCTAAGCATCCAAGGTAAGGAAGGTAGTGTGTCAGTCCCAATCATGTCGTGCTCGCTTTTGATGTCTTGGTTCCGTTGGACGACAGGAAAGGTGGGGGGGAGAAGAGAGCTGTCTGATGCATGTTGATGGAGACATGGCCCGTATTCGAAGAGGTTGGGGGGTTGTTTATCAGACTTTTGAAGAATGGAGCTGGAGAACAAACCCACCCGAGGAACATACGGAGTATGGAGTACGGAGACTGCCTAGGTAAGGAAAAAAGGAAGGAAGCGGTGGGGCGGAGCTGGAGAGAGAGTCGCAAACGGGATGTTCGGCGAGGGCGGAGAGGTTCTCATCCTCTTCCCCCGTCATTGTTCATGATCCAACTGTAAAGCTATCTATCTATCTGCCCTGGGCGATGAAGTTGGCGCCGGTGTCAAAGAGGAGTCCTCTTGTTGTGGAACTCGGGGAGTACCTAATGAGGGGGAGTCGGCTGGGGGTTGGTGAATCACCATGTTTCCCTCACTAAGGCCAAATGGAAAAGAAAAAAAAAATCTACGGAGACCAACGCCGTCCCGTTAAGCAACATGTGAAGGGGCAGGAGATGCATTCGTAGGCCGGATAGCCGTGGGCGAGCTTACGGCGTTACCGGGGTGCTGGCATTCTTCGTATGTCCCGCACTCCGCCCATCCGCACCCGGGAGGCGACTTGCAGCTGGAATGGCGGGAAGCGTCAAGGTAACGGATGCCGGCATGCCGTGGGCAACGAGAAGAACGTTGGTTGCTGGAGGGACAGTTGGTGTCAAAGATGGTCGGAAAAAATTCTGCCATCCCTTGGGCCTTGGGCATTGGAGGAATTGGGATATGCTTATTTGCACGATGCGGTTTCCGGCAGGCTTGGGACGTTTTTCAGCTTGTGGTGAGTATCTACATAGGTAGGTAAACTGAGTGAGTGATTGAGTCAGCGGCACAAGGTATCATCATGAGAGCTGAGAGCAGACTCAGACTCAGGTAAGGTGTATTTCAGCAGAAGTGCGCAATTTGGTGTGGATGCATCTTTTACTGGGTCCCCTTGAACCTTCTTTCCCTCCTTTTCGGATTGCCTATTTCGGGGGTTGCGGTTTGGTTGGTCCCGTCACAATCTGACCATACTCTCAGATCCTGATATCTCGTCCTGCCTTGTTTTGTATCTGGTGGACTCCCCTCCCTGTGGC